CCCGCCTCGGCCTCCCAGAGAGCTAGGATTACAGGCGTGAGCCACCGCGCCCGGCCCCTTTTTTTTTTTTAATTAGGAAATCGTTCCTTCTGTAGATAAACGTGCAGTGTTGTGGTTGGTCCTGTATATAGATCCTTTGCTTTTTTATTTCTAGGCTCCTCTACATGGAGGCTGATGTTTTAAAGAATGATAGTAAGGCTGTGTGTGGTGGCTCATGCCTGTAATCTCAGCACTTTGGGAGGCTGAAGCAGGAAGATCACTTGAGCCCAGGAGTTCAAGACCAGCCTGGGCAACATAGTGAGACCTTGTCTCTATAAAATATTTTTTTAAAAATTAGCTGAGCATGGTGGCACATGTCTGTAGTACCAGCTACTTGGGAGGGTGAGACAGGAAGATTGGTTGAGCCCAGCAGTTTGAGGTTGTAGTGAGCTATGATTGTGCCACTGCATTCTAGCCTGGGTGACAGAGTGAGACCCTGTCTCAAAACAAACAAACAAAAAAAACTTAATAAACCATCTTAAATAGAATTGTTTGATAGGGAGATATTTTCACTTACTGCTTCATCTTTATGATGGGTATTATTTTAGTGTTAAGGTTTTAAATACTAGACTGTAAGGTATAGTGGGTCAAGAAATTGATTCAATGGTAATGATAAATTGTTTTTTAAATGAAATAAAGACTAGGAAACAGTGCATTCGTATTCATGAAGGATAAGTATTCATGAAACTTGTTTGCAAGTATATGTGTGTATATATGACCATTTACACACATACATGCACATGTGTTTCTACATTATAAATATATGTGTTTATGTGTATGTATACATATACACAGAGACATATCCAAATATATTCATATATATTTACTGTGTTAGAATGCATATATTTCTTTCTGGGGGTTACAGTAAAAATAAAAGTTTATAAGCCACTGCTCTATAGCACTAGGGTATACAGGGATTATGCTGTGTATTACAAACGTGTAATGTTTTGGGGTTGTTTATATTTCGTTTTATTTTTTATTGATTATTATTTTTTTAAAAAAGCCTACAGCGCCTGGTATTCCCAGGAAGTCTCCCATCCAAGACTAACCAGGCCTGACCCTGCTTAGCTTCCGAGATCAGATGAGATCAGGCGCATTCAGGGTGGTATAATTCTAAGTAAAATGCAATTGGAGTATATATACGCATACCATACATATGTATATGGTTGTTGATGCCTACTATTTAAATTTATAGATATAATACTAGTATTCATTCAGTGAACATATATTAAGTATTTACAGTGTGCATCATTGTGCTTGATGTTGGAGATACAAAGTTTGTGATAAAAGTTGTGGTCTCTACCCTCAAATAGCTCAAGGCCTTTAATATTTTAAAAAATGCAGTGAATTAGTAGAAAAGGGACAGAAGACAAACAAGATGTTGGGAAAACTTAACCACTATGATGGTGAGAATTGCAGTGTGCTGTTTATTCACTTTTACACACATTGTCCATCATTTATATAGACCTTTACATTTTAAAGAGTTCTTTCAAATATCTTTTGAGCCACATAACAATCATCTGTGAAAGTGTTATTACTCCCTCTGGGGATTAAGAAACGAAAACTTGAAGAGGTTACTTTAACTAAGATCACCTAAGTAGTAGAAGGTAACAGAACTAGATTTACCTCTTTCTCCTAATCCAGTGTAGTGTTCTTTCCCCAGGTATGACCCTGAAAAGACCTGTAGTCGGTTACAGACTCCAACTTGAGCAATTTAAAAATCTTACGGAGAAAATAAAATTGAGGGAACAGAGCCTTGATTTGTGAAAGGTTGATAGATAATTTATGTTTGCTAAAAACAAAACACACAGCATGATAATAAAGGAAATTCAAATGTAATTTTTCTAAAATGTATTTTATGAAAAATGGAAACTATTCACTAAAATTCCATTTGTCATTCCTTTTTCACTGGAAACTTAATGAATCTGCCTTCTCCTCAATTTCTTTGAGATATTTGTAAATTTGTTTTTCTTTATTATAGATGTTGGTATAAATAAGCATTTATTCTGCTATCTCTGTTTCACAACGTTGGCTTTTTTAATATAGTACAATTTATTCAAATCTTCTTTCTGCGTTCCACTATTGTTACAGGAATATAAATTCACTTGGATGATGGAGTCAAAAAACTTTGAGTGTTCCTTATTTAATATGCTTGGTCTAGCATTGATTGAGAGCATACTTTCTAGGGTTCTAACCCATTAATAAGTAGTGCCAGAACATAGAACACTACCTCATTTTACCTTTGTCTTCATTGCCCTCCTTCCCTATAGGCATATGGATGGTTCCAAAGCCTTGTTTACTTTTCTTCAACTTCCTTTATGTCTCCTAAAGCTTCATCACAAAATCTTCTCTTTCTCAGTTACTTTGCTTTTTCCCCAGGACCCTGGCCCTTCTTTTTCTAATTATAGCCCCAAAGACTGCCTATTTACAGTTATTTGAGCCAAAATTCTTAGAGATTTCAAAAGATGTACAAAAGCAAATCCATGTATCTTGGAATTTCAAGAGGAAGACTTATTGGGAGAGGTTACTAAAATCTTTCCTGTAAGTCATACAGCATTCCCAGAGGATTCTACTTAAAAAGAAAGCAAATTTTTCCTTGACCAAGTCTAGGGGTATAGCCATTTTTATTGTACATGTCTGTCTTGTAATAAATTCTGTTCTGTGTTTCTGCTTTATGTTGGTAGATGCAAATGAAATTGATGGAAATGAAAGATCTGGAAAATCATAACAATCAATTAAATTGGTGCAGTAGCCCACACAGCATTCTTGTAAATGGCGCAACAGATTATTGCAGCCTCAGCACCAGCAGCAGTGAAACAGCCAACCTTAATGAACATGGTGAAGGCCAGAACAACCTAGAGTCTGAGCCCATACACCAGGAGTCTCCAGTGAGTCTGATAGTTCTATAATCTTCATAATCAACTTCTTGATGCAGTTTTATTGTCATGATACCTCATATAAATATGTGGCCTTGCCTCATGTGAGGACAATTGAGATTTCTTTTTTAGAGGCAGAGAGTGGGTCCTGATCCAACAATTCTAACAGTTTTAACTAGTATAAAAATGTAATTTTAGTTAGCTAATTTATTTTTTACAGAACGTGTTTTTAAAACAGAGTTCTATAGATAAAAACTTTTTAAAAAGTTTTTTAAGTACCCTCACCCAACACTAAAAATAATTCTTTATTACATAATATTGAGGACATTCATTTACCCATTATTTGGAGAGCAACAATCATATGCGAGAGTGCTGTATTATGTGTGAGAGCAACAGAGACAAAAGACCTTTAACCTTCCTTCAAGCAGCATACAGTCTAGCAGTATAGGGCTGTGATAATGGAAGCACAAGATATTCAGGCAGGACAGTTTGGAGGGGACTTAGAATGGATTTTGTAGGGAAAGCTTTGCAAGTGAGCCTTGACAGGTAAGAAGGGGTTAAGCAAAGAGGAAGGTGATACATTTTTGGGAGAGAAAACAGTATTAGCATAGGTACAAGGTGGGAGAAAACATGTAGCACAGAATCATGAGAAGTTTTGAAGGATATATTGTGATGGTGGAGAGGATATTGGTAAGAGGTGATGCTCTCTCTTAGTAGGCATCTGCATTACCTCTGTCTGGTACTTTATCAAAATATAGATGTATATTCCCTACCCCAAATTTGCTAAACTAGAATTTCTGGGATGGAACCAAGTACATATATTTAAAAACCAAATTCTATAGGTGATTTTGATATGTACCTGCATGAAAATGACCAGGTACTTTTAGGTTAGAAAGAACCAGAGGGTAAGAAATTTTGATTCATCTTAAAGCATTGGGGGATTTATCTTACTGCAGTGAGTAGCCATTAAAGAATTTTAAACAAGAAGCGACATGATTAAATTTACCTTTTAGAAATGTGGAAAATGGATTGGAGAGTGAGACTGCACACATAAAGATACGTTAAGAAACTGTTGGAATAGTCTATGTAAGAGTTGTTTGTTTTAGTTTGCACTTAATCAGTAACAGGAGAGATGATGAGAAGAATACAAGTTTGAGAGATATTAAAAATGAAAAATTAACAGACTTGATTTTATTTAGACAGTGTAGTCATATGTACATTATACAGTTTTCTTTCAATCACAAAAGGCAGATTACTAGGTTATTCTTCAAACACATAAGGGTAGTATGAAATAAAGATTGCCCCTGCTACTTCTTTAGCCTGTTACTCACTGTCAGGAAAGCAATGGGAAACCATTGAAGGATTTGTAACCAGAAGGATCATGATCAAATTCACATTTTAAATCTATCACTTTGGCTACTATAAAGAGGATAATTGGAAGAGCATATATTAGAGACAGGAAAGCAGTTGGAAGGAAGGCTACTACATTAATCTGGACCAGAAATGATGATACTGTAAATGATAGTGACAGTGAAGATGGAGAAGGGAAGGATTTGAGAAAGAGGTAAGAGGTAGAGTGAGCAAGACTAGGAGTCTTATTCTAGCTGGGGTTTAAAGAGGACCTGGAGGCTCCTGACATGAGTAACTTTGATGCTTGATGACACTGTTTTCCTAAGAAAGATCATTCAATAAATATGTTCTGCTTGTCTTTTTAAATTTTTAAATAATTTTTGATTATCCTTTGTCAGTTTCCTCTGCCAAGTAGAAAAGTATATTGTTAATCCATCAGCATTAATATTTTGTAGGCAAGAAGTAGTCCTGAAATACCACCTTCAGGTGTGACCGATGAAAGCGAAGTGCTGACTATAGCTGTTAATGAAGAAGTTTGTCCTGAATTTGACAGTGACAGACATTCAAAAGAGGTAAAAATAATTTTATATTTAAATGTTCTCATAATCAGATGTGGTGGTACATGTCTATAGTACTAGCTACTTGGGAGGCTGAGGCAGGAGGATCACTTGAGCCCAGGAGTGTAGGCCAGCCTTGGCAACTCTGGCTCTTAAAAATATATAAACAAACTAATTAATTAATTTTAAAAATATTCTTATCACTGGTTTCCTTAGATGATTAGACTCTGTTTTAGGCTAAGAAAGGAGAAAAATGTGTTAAATGTACTTTATAACTACAGAAATATTTGTTTTATTACCATCAGTTGATTTTTCAAAGTATGTGTATAACCTGAATATGTATTATTTTATTATAAAATGTTACCTTTTAAAACTTTGGTTTCTAAAAATTTTTTTTTTAATTTAAAATTATTTTTAGGAAGATCCATTTAATGTAGACTCAAGTTCACTAACAGATCCAGTTGCAGATACAAACTTGGATTTTTTCCAGTCCGATCCTTTTGTTGGCAGTAAGTACTCTTTTTTTATACCATAAATTTACCCAAAAAAAGGACTTTTTAATGTATAAACTGTGTAAGAATCAGGGCTTCAGTTTTCAGAGCCAACTTGTCACAATAAAAGTAGAAATGAGAGCGAGGGTTTATATGTTTAGATTTGCTAGTATTTATCTTCCACAGGCAACTAAATCCGGGGACTAAGCCTTTGATTATGCCTTAGGAACCCCACTTAAGAGTATGTTTCTTCAGATAGGGACCAAAGGAAAGAGATGTTATAAACCAGTAGAGGAGATTGGGTACTCTTGTACTCTTAAGGCAACCAGCAATTATTTACTAAAAATGCCAAACTGTGTTTTTAAAACAGTGGAAGCTGTAGCAGCATTAGAAGTCTGATCCCTCCCTTTAAGGTGCCTACCTTAAGTCTTATTGAAAAAACAAAGTTTGATAAATTAAAATGTCTGATGTCAGTGTAAAATATGTTAAATACTGCTTGTGTCAAAGCTTTTTTGCATTTTTATTTTATTTCCAAAATTACCTCGTGAAACTCATTGGTCACTTGATGACAGTTTTAAAGATGGGAAACTAAGGCACACAGGCGAAATAACTTGCTTAGGGTTTTGGCAGAAAGGAACCTATGTATTTAGAACTCTTTTTCTTTTTAAACAGCTTTATTGAGATATGTAAAGTGTTGAAAGATATAGAAATTGTACATTTAAAGTGCACAATTTAATGGTTTTTAGTATAGTCCCAGTTTTATGGTCATCACCACAATCTAATTTTGGAACATTTTTCATCACTCCATACCCAGTATAGCAGTCAAGTCTTAGCCTCCAGCCCTAGGCAATCACTAGTCTACTTTCTGTCTCTGTAGATTTGCCTATTCATGGAATTATACAATATGTGTTCTTTTATGTCTGCCTTCTTTCACTTAACATAATAATACCTTCAAGGTTCACCCATGTTGTAGTATGTTTTAGTACTTCATTCCTTTTTATTAACGAATAATATTTCATTGGATGGATATGTCACATTTTACTTATTCATTGGTCGATGGACATTCGGGTTATTTCCACTTACGAATAATGCTGCTATGAACATTTGTGTACAAGTTTTTATGTGTATATATGTTTTTATATCTCCTGGGTATATATCAGGTCATACGGTAACTATGTTTAATTGGTACCTCTATGTTTAATCATTTGAGGAACTGTCAGAGTATTTTCCAAAGAGACTGCGCCATACATTCCTACTAGCATTGTATGTGGGTTGCAATTTTTCTATATCCTTGCCAACACTTGTTATTATCTAAGCTTTTAATTATAGCCATACTAGTGGGTATGATGAATGGTATCTCATTGTGGGTTCGATTTGTGTTTTTCTAGTGAGTAATGTTGAACATCTTTCTATATGCTTATTGGCCATTTGTGTATCTTCTTTGGAGAAATGCTTATTCAAATCATTTTGCCCATTTTTTAAATTGGGTTATCTTTTTATTGTTGGCTTGGAAAAGTTCTTTACATATTCTGAATACAATTCCCTTGTCAAATATATGATTTGTAAATATTTTCTTATATTCTGTGTTGTCTTTTCGTGTTCTTGATGGTGTGCAATTAAACATGAAAGTTTTTAATTTTGGTGAAGTCTAACTTACCTGTTTTTTTCTTCTGTCACTTGTGCTTTTGGTATCATATCTAAGAAACCATTATCCAAAGTCCTTAGATTTACTCCTATGTTTTCTTCCTCTAAGAGTTGTTTTCTCACTCTGTCACCCCAGGTAGAGTGCAGTGGTATCATCATAGCTCACTGCAACCTCAAACTCTTGGGCTCAAATGATCCTTCTGCCTCAGCCTCCTGAGTAGCTAGGACTACAGATGCCTGCCACCATGCCTGGCTAATTTTTTCTATTTTTGATAGCTTTTGCTTAGACTAGTCTTGAACTCCTGACCTCAAGCAATCCTCCCACCTCGGCCTCCCAGAGTGCTAGGACTATAGGTGTGAGCCACTGCGCCCAGTCCCTCTATGAGTTTTATAGTTTAGCTATTACATTTAGATCTTTGGTTCATTTTGAGTTCATTTTTGTATATGGTGTGAGGTAGGGGGTCAAACTTCGTTCTTTTGCGTGTGGATATCCAGTTATCCTAACACCATTTTTTGAAAAGACTGCTCTTTCTCCATCGTGTGTTCTTGGTACCCTTGTCAAAAATCAAATGCCCATTAATGTGAGGATTTATTTCTGGGCTCTTCAATTGTATAAAATGTTTTGTTTTGCTTTAGCAAAGTTCAACATCTTCATTTCTGAATGGATGTTGATAATACTCTCCCAGTGTTCTTGTGAAGGGTAGAGGTTTTGTTATTGAAATTTTTGCTGTCATATTTGTCTGCCCCTCTATCTGTAACCTCAATTTTTTGAGCGAAGTGAGTATAGTTGGCTCTACTTCAAATTTGCCTCATTAGCCAGGCGCAGTGGCTCATGCCTGTAATCCCACCTCTTTGGGGAGGCCTAAGGTGGGAGGATCACCTGAGCTCAGGAATTCAAGATTTCAGTGAGCTATGATCATGCCACTGCACTCCAGCCTGGGTGACACAGCAAGACTCTCTAAAAAAACCAAATTTGCCTCTTTTATGAGGTCCATTGAGTTCTGCCTATACCCTTTGTTATTATTTTATCTACTTTGAGGTGGAGTTACTGATTTGCTTTAAGAAACTTTGCTTTGCATTTGTTTTAAAGTTACCCTTTAAGTAATAATGTCACAATAATAAAGGTTGTTATTTTAATTTCTGCTTATTTATTTTATCACAGGCGATCCTTTCAAGGATGATCCTTTTGGGAAAATTGGTCAGTATATTATTGAGTTCCATCTCAGCTTTAATTCAATTCTGCTTAATTATAAGCTTATGTTGTATTTAGAAATGAGAGGTTACAAGTTGGGTTGTAACAGTTATAGGAAATGGACTTTCTTTTTATTTAGTTTTGAAACTGATCTAAAGCACCAGTAAGATGCTGTATGTGCCTGGCATTTTCAGAAAGAGAGTGGTATATTCTTGTGAATTTGCTTAATAAACTGTTAGCTTTTTTAAAAAATGATGTTAGTGTTTAGACTTTGGTGCTTTTAGTAACATTTATTTTGATTTCTCCTTATTAACTAAAGGTTATGTGAGCATAATGACCTACACTACTACAGAGTTTAGAACGTAATTTTGTTTTCCTAAAATTACAGCCCATTCATGTGAATGAGGGAAAAGGGAACCTCTGGAAGAATTACTAAATGTCAGACTTTTAAAGATATTCTTTCTTTGGGAGTTTTTATTGGAATAAAGCAAATCTTGTTTATCATTTAGTTTTGCTTCCTAATCCTGTTCTAAACAATTGGCTGTTAGTCATGAGCTCAGAGAGAATACATTTAGATGTTTTTGTTGTTTTATTTAATTATGATAGCATAAAATAAAGGGGCATAAAATTCAATTCCTTGCAATTATATGCTACTTTAAAAAATAAGTGTATTAGGTGAAAGGCTCTGTATCTTTTGTCAAAATCACAAAGGAATCTTGAAATAAGTACCTAACTTAGATTCTGCATGAGTTCAAAATGTCTTTTAAGGCAATGATTATGCCTTCAGGTGATGGAAAATTTAGTGCAAGGATTTTGTTAGTCACTTATATTTGTGCTTTATTTTCTTAGATCCATTTGGTGGTGATCCTTTCAAAGGTTCAGATCCATTTGCCTCTGACTGTTTCTTCAAGCAGTCTTCCACTGATCCTTTTGCCACTTCAAGCACTGACCCTTTCAGTGCAGCCAACAATAGCAGTAATACATCGGTAAGTGGAAGGATTAAAAACTGTTAAGTGGATAATGTGTCCTAAGTGAGTTTCTTGAAATACAGTGATATAAGAATCCTCATTTAGATTACTTCTAGTGAGTCATATGAGAATTTCAGTCTCATACCAACTCATCTAGTTTTTGGTTTAGACTGGCATTTCATAGTTTGATCACCCACTGGAATTAACTAGAATAATTTACGGTGTCCAAAAGTGAAGTCCATCCTTCAAGGGAACAAATTTATCCCATTGAGAATATTTAAAATGATCGGATATCCATAAGCTAGTGAAGTGTTTCTGAAATGTTTGGTGTGTTATTAAAATAGTGAAAATTACTTTAAAAGGAACAGCAACAATGTTTTAGAAGATAAAATCATTATATGTTATTTCATAGACACATCTATAAAATTAATCTTATAAAGTACAAATTCCCATTAAATGTCAGGCTCTCTTCAGAATGGTACAGACCTACAACAACAATCACTATTTAATAACGACACACTGTGATCCAGATACTTCTGTGTGTTTTACATTCACTGTTTCTAATCTTCACATCAACCTTAAAAAGGTGTTGATACCCCTTATTTCAAAAATAAAGGACATTGGGACTCAGAAAAATTAATTTATATGCTCAGGGTCATACAACTAAGAGCTTTGTCATCTGGAGGCTTTTAAAAAAATCTTTATATTATGGATATTTAAAAATACTCAAAATAGAGTAAAATAATGAACTATTTTAACAAACCTTGATGTAGCCATCATC